CCCTCATATGTGGGATCTGAACCGGGGCCCTCTGGCGTCCCAAGCCAGTTCTTAACCATCGCGCCACTCGGCCGGCCCGGTACGTATTTCTTGAATGCCTGCTGTGGGCCTCCCTGCCCCAGTTGCTAGAGAAACTACAGTAAACAGAGTGGGTATAACCCCTGTCTTTCTCGAGATGACAGTTGGGGGTTGGAGGTGTGGGGGTGAGGAAAGATGCAGAACCTGAACAAGAAAAACGTTGTAATCGCTGAGATGGGAAAGGACAAGGTACAATGGTAGGGACCATAATGAGGGGAAGAGAGGTGACACTTAAAACATGAAGGATGAATGGAAAGTAACCACAGGCAGATAGAGGGGAGGAATGTTCCGGACAGAAAGCCTTGAGGTTGGGGCTAGCTTGTGGTGTGTTTGAGAAACTCAAAGGATGGTGGCCAGAGAAAATAAAGTGCAGGAGAGACGTGGCGATATAGGCCTGGGCCAGACCACGTAAGACATTGGAGACCCTGTATTGGAGTTTAGACCTGACTCCGTGGGACATAGGAAGCCCTCAGAGGGTGGGAAGGAGAGGAAGGACGGGGTCTGCTGAGTAAGTGATGGATTGAAGGGGTCACGGACCCAAGTAGACAGAGCAGGGGGCATTGCAGTCATAAGGTGGAGAGATGACCGTGGCGTGACCCTCGGTCATGGGAGTGGGGAATGGGGAAGAAGTCAGATGCTGAATACATTCTATCCTCCTGGGCGAGTTAGGAGAAAAGCAGTCCTTATATCACCTTCCTCGCACCAATAAGCAACCAGATCTCGACAATGGAATTATTATTTCAAATGTAAATACTTTTTTTTTCCATTGATATGATTCACCATTGTGGAGATGGTGGGAACTTAAATAGACATGTCTCTAGGAATCACGTACAAATCATTGGACTTGGAGACCAAAAAGATGGAGACTACTGGCACTGTATACAGCCTCTTTGCAGAATTTGGAGAAAAAGGTTTTTGTTTGGAATGCAACGTGCACAGCTGTGTTTGTTACCCTCTGGCTCCAAACAATGTCCCTCCAACTAACTGCAAACGCTGAGTATGTTAGAAAGAGGGGCAGAGGCAGGAAGAGTGAGGCTCATAAGCTCCCGATTGTTCTACACACTCGTGGGCCGAAGAAATATGACTGGAATTAGAGGGTCAAGGAGGAAGGGGTGTGAAGCGAAAATATTGCTTTGAGAGTCCGCATTCAGCCACTTGCAACTGTGAAAACTCTGTTTTGCTCCTAGGACATAGTTGAAGCCAAGGGCAAAGGAGGACGGGACACCACGCCCGTGGGTTGTGATATCCCCGGGGACTCGGGAGAACTGGAGACCACGAAGGAGGACCTCCAGACCTCAGACATACCCGAGAATAACAACTCCATCATGAGCTTCTTTAAAACGCTGGTAAGTCGTTTCCTTCCTCTTCCCCTCAATTCCATTGCTCAAACGTGTTGTGATTCTAAGAATAATACACACTTGAGTGTCATTGTTTGGAACGGGGTGTCATCGTGATGCAGCTGGGACATGAGAACAGTGACAAGATGTGTTTCGTAAGGGAATTGTGTTGCCCCGGGCTTTCAATGAGGGAGACTTCAGAGATATGAACAGCGGGTGTCCAAACTGTGTAACGTGAGCTGTGTCCTAATGGAACTCTATTGTAATTGGACGGTCATTGATCCTAAAAATAATTAGGGAATCCTTCCTCGAGTCGTTGACCTAGCAAAGCAGTTTTACCACTCACATGGCAAATAAAACTATAGAAACCATTTTCTATCTTGTTCCATGTAAATCTACCATTGGAATTGGATGCGGGTAGAGACTCATGTCTTGCATTGCTTGTTCATCTCTGATTCCTCAGGGCAGGGCCCATGGCCTGGCACATGCCAGACACTCAGAAAAGGTCTGGTGAGTGAATACGTAATTAAGCAGACAGTTCCAAGTGTGTGTGGGCTATTTCCAAAGACCAAGACTAACTTCAAAACATAAAAGCAAAAAAGACAATAGAATGTGCACGAACATGAAAGGGTTGTGCATTTGTTTGGGTTAGTGGCAGCACTGATGGGAAACCTCTGGCCTTCCAGGAGACAGTTTCGAACGTGGTCAAACACTTGGTGAATGCATAAGATCTGATGCATTTCATTCTAAAATATTAATCTTTGTTAACATTTGTATACCTGGGTATACCAGAAGTCCATGGGTTTCTGCTGTAATAAAGGGACTTCTGATTATATTTTTCACCTGTATAGTGAATCGAGCCACCCTAAAAAACTATGTATCTATGAAATAAAAGCACCCTGAAGGGCTATGATTTTTAACAGTTGCTTCTCTCAAACTTTGAAGGTTTCACCTAACAAGACTGAAGCAAAAAAAGATCTGGAAGACACGGTAGGTAGTTTGAAGTGTGTTTATGTTTGGGCTTATGGATAGACTTGGATTTGGATTTCTGTCTGCTTCTTTGTGTGTATGTGTATATATATATATATATGTATGCACATATATCCCTATTTAGTAACTTAATGATACTGTTAGATTGTCTTTTAAATGTTTCATTTATGTAACGGTATTTTAGTGAAAATTTTAGTGGGAAGCTTGAAATATTTGCCAATCCTGGCTAAATAATGTCACAATAACTAATTTCTTACAGAGAATAAGAACAGAATACTAATAATAATTCTATGTCATCTTAGTCTTTCTAGTTATAGAGAAACACAGAGAATGTATTAATAGTAAAAATTAGCTGCTGGGAATGAGGATGAATTAAGACTCAATTTAAGTAGGAGTAAAGGTTTCTATATTTTTGGTTTTAAAAATATATATGCTCTTTGTTTTTCATGTAATTTGAAAAAAATAAATCTCCACTGCCGAGGCAATTATTTGGTGAAATGAAATAGCCACCAGTGGACACTTACCAAATGAAAGAACGCGTAGGGGATTTAGGATGCCCTGGTGAGCCTGGGTTTTTTCACTGTCATCCTAGAAATTCAGCCAATTCTCTTCAAAATAACTTTTGTTTGGAATGACTACTTTCTGGAGATGGTCTCCTTCTACACTTGACAGAATTGATTAGCTCTAGTGGAACACATGGTTTAGATTTCACAGGAATCGTGAAAAGAGTTTAACTTGGTGACAGATAAGAGTCTTGTGTCCTTCTTTTGATAAAGTGAAAGTGCTTTGAAAGACACAGGGACCAAATAAATGGCTTGGCCAGCCAATCCATCTGCTACCCATATTCAAAAGGCCTAAGTTGTGAAAGGGATTCTGGTATTTGTCTCAGAAGACCTGCCTTTGAGCTCTGGTCCTGCTGCTTGATAGCTGTGTAATCCTAACCTGTCTCAACCCAAATCTCCACATCTGTAATATTGGGACAATAAAAATTCTATCTCCCCAACCCAACGTTGAATGAAGGTGGAACAATGCCTGGTAAACCATGGAGCTGTATTCCAACACAGGCGGTCTCTATTTCCATCATCACTGCAAGACAGACTGTACACCATGATTACATTTGTATTATATTGACTGCTCCCTCTAGAATTTTTTCTTTTATTGAAAAAATGTATATGTCTGAGACAGCTACATGCCTTTTCCTATAAATGTATTAATTTGCTACAAGGCAGCTACACTCAAGTTCAATGAAAGATTGGGTCCAATGTTTCTCTTTTGGTCCTGTGTTTTGCATTGTTTGAGGTCACAGAGTCAACACAATAGGCTATAAATAGTGGAGTATGTGGGTGTGTTGTGTGGCCTCCCGAGTGACCTGTTGCTCTCACTATCTTCAGCTGCTCATACACCAAAACTCTTCCCCCACCCAGAATGTGGCCCCAACTGACCTGACCTAAATGATAAAATCTCATTGCTCTGCCCAGTGAGCTGTGAGGTCACCGCTGGTGGAGCTGGGTCTCAAAGATTTTGTGAATGTAGGTTATCCATAACACCCACAAACAGGCCTCTTCCTCCAAACCTGGTTCTCATACCTTGCCTTTTTAACACCTTTCTTCTGCTGAAGTTCTTGGAATCACACTTTTGAAACATCTCCACCACTGGTCCTTCTTTCCCATTTGGCCTCAGGCAATTTTTAGCACCTGACATGCCCCTCACAACATCCCCCGCCATTTGTAACTTGAGTCCACAGTTCTGAATGGTTTCAGCTGGGTTATTTCAGTTCCAATCTCTCCCAACTTTGCCTCAGTGGACTGGCTCATACTAGAAACTTCTTTTGCCTGGGAGATCTGCCCCTCTAGAAGTCAGTTGAAATTTTTGTGGGTGATACTGCTTCCCTGAAGTGCCTAATACGGAAAAAAAAAAGAGATCAGTTTGAGAATGAAAGTCACTCAGTGGCAGTATTTACCTTGACTCCAGGAAGCAAAAATGAATTGTTTATCTTCAGGTATTTTTTTTTCTTTCCCATGTGACAATATGATATAGATATTTACCAAAAAAACTATGAAATAGGGACCGTATTATCTTTTTATTTTTTAGATTTATCACCTGGATATTTTATGTTATATAGACAGAGCTTAAATGTCCTGTTATTATCTTTAGCAAATGGAGTTGTGTTAGCCTGGGTTATTTAAATAGTTCACCCTGTTGAAAATCAATGTGTACCTGAAATAGACTGTGAATATGCTCTTTAGCAAGTCAACTTTGAGAGTTTCAAAAAGATAAACAATTATATGATGTCTTGTGGGTGGGGGGTAGGGGTGATACACCAGCAGTTAATTGTCCAAGTGTTTTTAAGGACCGGAAAACAAAAGGGAAAAAAATGGATTTTGTTTAAAAACAAAAGTTCTAAGCTGTGACTGCTGTTGCCCGAAAGGCATCCAAGATAGAAAGTGTCTGTGATGGACAAGCTGGACAGCAGACTTCCGAGATCCAGGCCAAAGGCACCAAGAAGAAACACCTGCATAGCCCCAGGCTAGGACTCACCTTTAGAAAATTCTTTAGGCATAAGGTCTGTATCGTCTTAAACTGGGAGGGAAAACGAACCCTGGTCCTCACTACATGATACACGTGCCATTCCGTATCCACCCAGCTCTACGTCAGTGAAGACAGAGCCAGCCGTGGGTGCTTGGAATCATTAAAGAGGAATTAAAAAGTCTGTGAATCAAATTTCAGTAATTAAAAAAAAAAAGTCTACATAGTTATAAATATGTCAGACTAATTTCTTCCTATTGTGGACCAGGGTTCTGAAATTAGTCTTCTAACCCAGTGTTTCCCAAATGTTGAAAGTATACATAGCACCTTCATCATTTTTGTCATGTATACTGTGACTTACTCGATATTTTTATATTGAAGTGGACCCTTTTCCTACAAAAGGTATTTTTAAAAGAGACTTTATATTACATCATACATAGAAAACCAGATCATCATAAGAGGAGGGTAGCTATGAATATGGCTAATAAGAAAAGATATTACATGCTAGTTACCTTGTTTGTGTGAAGCTCTGAATCTAATGCCTTTTCTAGCTTTCTCAAAAGGCAATTAGCCAGCACGTGACCAAGGTTACCCCCAGAATGTTCTTAGAAGGGTTAAATGAGAGTTGAAAAATGAAAAGTGTTTTCACTGTTTGAATGTGATTGGTGTCATACCTCTGTATGTGTACGGTGTAACACCATCTCTGATACCATCAATGGTATGCTTTCTACATTTTGGGAAACACTCTTCTAACCTCAAGTTAACAATTTTATCTTTCTGTGGTCNTACACCTAGCAAGAAGCCTAGAGGTGGGGTGATCTAGGTTGGTTCAGTGTCTTCACTGCCCCAGATGCTTCACGCTTCTCCAGTATCCTTTGTAAGTTGGCTTAGTTCTCAGGCTTGGGCCTTGGGGTTTTCATGGCTGCCATAGTCCCGAAAACTGTATATAGTCACAAAGTCCTAGAAAATGAAAGGGGTTTTCTACGATGCACTCTCATGATCAGCTTTGCCTGACACACCTTTAAAAAGAAAATCATTTTGAAATAGATTGGGTTGTCGGAAAAGTTGTGACGTATTTTTTCTGTTTTTCGTTGCAAGAATGCGTCGTGACTTTTCTGATAATCCAATATGTCTGGTATAGATGCTTTCACTTAGATAAACTACATAGAGTCATATCTATACCATTGATTTGGTATTTTTCATTCAGGTTTTATCATGTTATGGTGTTAATCATGGTTGAGATATCAAGTATGTTGTATTTTGCAATGAGTCTGCAAAATAAATTTTGAGTTAACTGTCCCTTTGGTGTTATCCACCCAGATTCACTCCTTCCAAGATTATAATAACACCCCTGATTTATTGAAAGTTTGGTAACTCCCAGAGAGGTGAAGAAACGTGCATAAGATTATATGGCTGGAAAGCATCGGATCCGGAATTTGTCACCAGTGCCCTAGTGCGTAGCCACTGTGCCTATAAGTCCCAAAAAGAGGGAATACTTTGTACCTTTTGAGATATCTTGTATCTGTTTGAAATTTCTGAAGCTAGTACTTCCCAAACAGAGGTGAAACAACAGTCCAATGAGATCAGCGCAGAAATAGGGCTCCACTATCAAACAGTTTTGGAAAAGACTACTTGCTTTCAGTTGTCTCCCGAAGATTCACAATGGACATCAGTCCACTAAAGGCTCTGAGAAGTCCTGCAATAAGCATGCCCGCTTCCCATAGTTCAGCTGAGTGTTTCTCAAACTGAATTATTCAAATAACTATTCGCTGTCTAGCCAGTTGGGCATGCCTGTCATCCAAGGAACAGTTCTTCTAGGAAACGCTGAGCCAGACATGCAGACCAAAGTTGGCAAATGCCTCTTACGGGGTGCATCAAGCCACAGATAGGTTTTATTTGCCCTTCACCACGTTTTAAGTAACATTTTAATTGATTGACAATATTTTTAAATTGACAAAGCTGATGATATTTTAAAATGATGAGATTTCAATACAACCCCATAAAACAGATGTTTCTGAAAAGTGGGAAGCTTTGTCCTATCTTGGCAGGTGGGATGTGAGCTCTGACCGCCCTGTAAGCTGGGCATTCACTCTCCAGCTCACCCAGTCCCCGCCCCTCCATTGATTCCCAGCAGGGCCGCCATGGGAGCTGTCTTTCATTATCATACTTGCTTTGTAATTTTCTTGTGGTAGAGCTGAGAGTAAAGTAACATATTTCCATTACAGATACTTTACCTCCTTCATAGCAATTACCACAATTTGAAGCTACTTAATAAGTGACCATCTGGTTAATAAACTAAAAATCCAGCCCAAGAGTCAATCTGTTGGCAGGCGTTGAACAATAAGTAGCAGACATGAATACTTTCATTTATTCATTCAACAAACATCTAAGTGCTTTCTTTGTGCCAGGAATGATTTCATTAGGTTCTAGGGTGGATAGAACGATGTACTTCATGGGCGCTTTCATTCTATAAATAATAAACAAGTAAATTAATAAGCAAACAGTTCCAAGGCATAGAAAAGACTATGCATGAAATAAACAGTTTTGCAATAGAAAGTAGAGTGGCGATGAGGCTGATAATTCAAATTGGGGAGGGGGTAGCATCAGGAAGGAGATTGGTCTAATCTAAAAATTCAGGGAAAAAGATGTGGGTTTTTTTTCTTCTTTTTCTGCACAAGACCAAACCAAACCATTCTTAGAAAGTCTGCAGCCTGATTTTGCTGGCATTCACAACAGTTTTCTCACTCTTGGGAAGTGTTTGTTAAACAGATGACAAACACGTTCTAGGCTATGGGTTATTAACTTTTGTGTTTTGAAGTCATCTTTTTTTAATATTGGATATTTTTCCTCTAATAAATGTGAAATGCCATTATCAGCACATACTGGAACTAATCATGGGGCAGAAGAATCTTCCACAAATCCCTGTGGCCCGATGTCACTTACCCTGGGAATCACTCTCCACCCACTCTTTGTTCTCAGCAAATGTGGTTTTCCGTTTTATATCATATGCGTACATAGGGGGCTTTGCTTAAGAGTGTACCCACCTGTAGGTCCTGAGGACTACCCCTAAAGTAATGACTGCTGCCCAAAAAAGAAGAAGAAGGAGAAGAAGAAGCTAGGAAAAGCATTTTATTGCTTAATTCTCTATCCACATTTCATTTGCCATTGGGAATCAACTTGACAAATTCACTTACCCGCCGAGTGCAGGAGTTGCTGAGAGAGAAAATGGAAAACCCTTGATTATAAGAAGCAGGTGTGAGTTGCTTTCTTTGATAGATTTCTTTCCACCTATGACTAATGAACAACTGGTTTGTTTAATCTTGAAACATCTCTGCATCAGTCAATACCATAGGTTAATGAGGCCCTACCGTGCAAAGGTCCAGGGCTAGACTTCTGCCAAGATGGGAGTTTTTAGCATCCTGAGGTTAGGTCTACAGAATGTTAAAACAGGTGGTGATCTTATGACTTACAATAAAGAGCATCATACTAGATAATTGGTCCAGCCTAGCTTGATTCAATTAGCATAAGCAGATAAAATGAACGATGTTACTGTTTTTCTGAAAAGAGGAGGGAAAATGAGTAATTGGAGCATTTTTAGATCTGTGTCATGCAGCTTAAATTCCCCTCTTATAAAACGTGCCAGAAGGCCATGAAAATCCAGATTTCACGTTTCATTATTTTTATGTTATTTTTATATTTTTATTGTCCTCTAAAGTCTCTGATAATTTCTTAATTAACCACCTGGGTCACTAGGGAGCTTGTTTTCAACCATGACCATTGGGCAGTGATATAATTTTAAAGTCCTAAAACACACATGCTTTTGGAACGAACAATTTGACATCTAGGAATTTATTGAGAAAATGAGCAAAATTTTATTCACGAGACTTTTTTTTTTTTAATTCCAGCATTGCAAGAGAAAAGCCAGGAAGATCTATAAGATCTAATAGGGTGGCTTTTATACTGATTATGGTACACTGGACATCAGAAACCAGGATGACAGAGCAATAGAATCATTGACAGGTGAAGACAGTCATAATATAATATAATTTTAACCAGGAAGAGAGAGTTTTTATTTTATTTATTTATTTTTTTACTGGGGAATTGGGGAAGGGGAACAGTGTGTTTTTTCCAGGACCCATCAGCTCCAAGTCAAGTTGTTGTCCTTCAATCTTAGTTGTGGAGGGCTCAGCTCAGCTCCAAGTCCAGTTGCCACTTTCAATCTAGTTGTGGGGGGGAGGGGGCGGCGTAGTCCACCATCCCACGTGGGGGTGGAACCGGCAACCTTGTTGCACACTGAGCCATGCGGCCCCGGTCAGCAGCTTGCGGCTGCTCATCTCAAGGTGCCATGTTCAATCTTAGTTGCGAGGGGCACAGCCTGCCATCCCATACGGGTGTCAAACTGGCATCTTTGCTGCAAAGAGCACAGTCGCTCACCAGCTCAGTGGCAGCTCAGCTCTGGCGCAGCTCACTGGCCCATGTGGGAATCAAACCAGCAACCCTGTTGCTCAGAGCTCGCGCTGTTAACCAGCTGAGCCACTCGGCCGGCCCCAAGAGAGGGTTTTTAAGTAGTACATGCAGGATGGTCCCTTTGGGGTAAAAATGATGCCTGCCTACCTGCCTACCTGCGCAACACATAGTCGTCCTTCCACCCAAATGGGTGTAGAATGAAAAAATGCAAATTGTTAGTCGTAGTTTCTTTCAGTAATGGGATAATGGGTGCATTTTGTTTTTACTCTTTGATCATCTGTATTTTATCATTCTTATAAAAGGAAAAAGTACAGTATACTGCCTACCTAAGTAAAAAAAAAAANATAACAATTAGCTCCTTCCTTATAGGACTGTTGTTCGAACATTCAATGGCTTAGAACAGTGCCTGGCACTGGTACCTTTTATTGTTGCTATTAAATAAAAGTTAAAAGTTGGAAATTACGGCTTGAAGAGGGGACTATGGTCCAAGTGGTGGAGCCCACTTCCCCTTTCATCAGCCCTCTTTAATTCCATCACCCTTTAGAGCTAAGACAGCACCAGGTACCCAAGACTATTTGGACATGTGTAAATACAGAACTGTATGAGCTCAGCCTTGTTGATTTCACTGTTTATAAAAGGCAGAGATTATTTTAAATCCAGGCAGATGTGTGCACTTTTAAGTGGAACTTGTAATATCTGATCAGTAAATAATTCCCCCTTAGTATCTAAAACTCAGTACAGGAAATATTGTGTCTCACTTCAAATAGTCACAGTCACGGTATTTGCAAAAACTCTTTGGAGAGGCAACAGGCCGTGTGGAAAGAGCACTAGCTAGGGACTGGAAGCCCAGAGCTGAGGTCACGCTGTGGCCCTTAATTAATGTTGGGCATCGTGGGTCTCAGTTTCTCCATCATGAAAATTCAGGCATTGAATCAAATGGTCTCTAAGACTCTTCCTGACATCAAAAATACTACCAACTTTCCTAAAATTATTTTCACACCCATTTTTATTGCCAGGTTTGTTTGTTTTTTCTTTTACTCAGAAAACATAGTCCAAGTTCTGACATCCCTGGAATTTAAAGGGTTTGTGTCACAAGCTCCCTGGTGTAAACATCACAAAACAAAGATGCTTAAGATGAAGAGGTTAGGTCAGATGAACCTGGTGTTAAAAATTGTCATACCAATAGTCACTCATGTTGAGATAAATTGAGACCAGAACACTATTAACTCTTCCTTTATCCCATGAGTCAGGAGGTGGCAGAGGGTAACAGCCCAGTCACCGAGGAAGTCAGAGGTCCTAGAATTGGACCTCAGTGTGGCCACTCAAAACGGGGAGAAGGAGGAAAAGCTGGGAGAGAGAGAAAGCAAGGGGTAAGGAAGAGAGAGTGAAAGAGAGAGGGAGAGAGAAGGGGGAGGGTGAAAAGAGAGAGAAGGAGGGAAAGAGAGACAGAGAATAGGGGCCAAATGAACAACATTTGAAGTTTTCAATCAATTGCATCTCCTTTAGATGTAGAGGCTGCATCTAAAAGTGAAGAACTAGGGTTTGTGGGGGCTCTTCCAACTCAAGATCCACTCTCTGAGCTCCAGTCCAGCTCTCTTATACTCACCTTAGAGCCTAGATGCGTGATCTCCAAAGTGTGGGAGGAAAGTTTGAGAACTTCTACTTTAAACTTTATTTATTTTAACCCTTCTCTAATTTAAAATTTGGATTAGTAGCAAAATACATTTTTATACTATAAACAAATATGCATGGATTGGAGGTTCATGTTCAAGGTCAAAATCATTTGAAGATGAGTGGCCTCGGTACAAATTAACATTCTAACAGCAAAGTGCCTCTTGTGATCACTGCATCCTAATGAGCTACTTACATGGACATGACAAGTAATGGCTCTATAGATATTTTTTCCAAAAGGAAACATGTCTTGAGTTTTTCCAAGATTTTAACACCAATCCACATTCATAGTAGAATATTTGGAAAATACAGAAAATTCTAAAGAAGATAATTAACATGTATAACCCCAGCTCATGTTTATAAAAAAAAAAAAAGAGATCCTTCACTTTTGAAATCTGGAGATCATTTTGAATTTGTCTAACTCTACAGAGTGCTGAAAAGGCACCGGCCACTTCTGACAACCTCAAGTCAGACAAAGCCAACTTCGTACCCCAGGAGACCCAAGGAGCAGCCAAGAATCCTACATCCCCCGAAACAGCCAAGGAAGGAGCCAAGGAAAAGGGGGGACCCACCTCTCTGCCTCTGAGCAAACTGTTCTGGAAAAAGGTAAGTCCTATTTTCAAGACATAGAGAGTAATTAGGGCTAGGTGACTTGAAAGATGATTTCTATTGGGCCAACTGATGCACTCGGTGGTGTATGGAGTTTCTTTTTCTTCTCCAAAATGACTTCACTAGGCATGGAGTTGAAGGCTCCTAATTTACTCCTGGGAAGAATGAAAGGCCTATCATGTTGTAAACATGTGTTTCGTGGGAAAGTAAAGGAAATGAACAACTAGAATTTTTCATTCTTGGAATTACTCCGATTCGTGACAAAGGGCTGTGGTATTTCATGATTTCATTTCTTCCTTAAATCATTATTATTTATTCCTCTTGGCTTCCTCTGAGCTCTCTCACCCTGGTAAGATGAACCACCACTGGGTTCCCTATCTTTGCATCCCCAGCCAGAGATAATCAGTCATCGAGAACCACCAGGCTTCACTCTCCTTTTGGAAAGTTCACCACCTGGGCAAGCGTACAGCATGGCCTGTGATAGGAAAACTCAAACCATCGTCTGATTTTTTTCCATCTAGAATTAAGGTGTGGTGCAAGGCAATGGTTTGGGTGGGGCGAGTAATTCTGAGAGCTATTCCTTGATCATCAGTAAAGCCCAGATCCCTTCAGAACTCTTGCCTGCTTTAAATGTGGCCAAAAGATGAGCAAGAAGTTGAGGTTGAGGCAGTGGGGTGTCATTTAGAGAACTGGGAAAATCTAATTCAGTCATTTCATCAAAATCCGTGCCACTTGGCACATAAAGTCAGTCAGGTGATAAACACAGATGCCACTGTGGTGTTAGTTTTATTCTCTTATCCAGAATCCAGCTGGATTTCTGAAACTCTTTCTTGTGTGTTTCTTGTTGTACGGAAGTGTCCCTTCGAGGTTCTGCCCAGAACACAAACTCCAATACTTAATGAAAACTTTGGATGATGTCGTTTGGCATTCTCTTCTGATCCTCTTTCCTTACCAACTGCTGATTACTTATTTTTAAAAACCTTTTATCAGCAATATAATGTAGGGAACAATTTTCAAGAGAGTGACATGCATACATTGGCGACAAGGGAGATGAGTTAGGTGACCATATTTAAATATTTTTATTTAAATAATCATATATATATATATATACACACACACACATATATATATATAAATTTCAAATGTATTAGGAAAAATAGAACTGGCACACTAAACTTAATTTAACATATACCTTGCTGAAGGGAGACTATATGTATTTAGTTTAGAAGTAACCCAATGAAAAGGAAACATTCCATAAATAATGGTACAGATATGATGTGAAGTAAATAATGGTAAGTGTGGGTCCTCCCAGAAGCAGATACCAAGACAGAACTCATGTGTAGGAGATTTGGAGAAAAACAAGCGAGAAGGACAAAGGGGAGGGGTCAGGGGTAGGTAGAGAGAGAGCCTGCCCACCGCAGTGAGGATCTGACACCTGTGATGGGGGGACAGGAGGAAGGAGCAGATGGTGAGAGAAGAGCCTCAGCCTGAGGGTGGGAAACCCCTGAGCAGAGACCACCCATTCCAGGAGCCCCATGTTGGGTAGAACCCCCCACACTCGGTCCCTGGCTGGGAGCTGCCAGGGAGCGCACGCCCTCAGCATCACCACACTCTAGTGGAGGATGCAAAGGGCGTGGCCATCTGAGGCTGTCCTTGCAGGGAAATCTGAGTGGCACACTTTCATGGCTGCTACAGACGGCGCGTACAACGTGGTCAAAACCACATAGGAGGTTGACAAATGACTGCAGTTTGAGGAACACTTACATAAGGGTTAAAAAGTTGTTGTCAGACAGATCTGACTTCGAGTCCCAGTCCACCTTCATGAGCTTGATCAGTTTCCTAATGTGTAAAATGCAAATAATAATAGGACTCCTGTCGCGGAAATGAAGTGAGGATTAAACGAACTAATGCTGGTAAAACCGCCAACACCATCCGTGCCTAGCACAAAGTGGCCGGTGAATGGTCGCTGTTCCCTAGGTCATCTATTTCTTTGTGCTCAGGAGGGTTGGGACATTAACCACGTCCACTTGTTTATCTCTCTGTCCCATCCAGTTTGGGACACTTCTAAGCTATGAAGCCTCAAGTATTTTATCTTTCCTTCCCTTTGGGATCTAACAAGAGTACCTTGGTTCTTTGAAATTCAAGCTATTCCCATTGAAAATAAAGGCCAGGACCACTTGACATCTAGTTCCCCAATGAAAGAAACTTCATTTATTTCAGTTTCACTGTTTTGTCATCATGACCTGGCTTTATTTCTTTGGTAGATTACAAAAAATAATGCAGTTAAGAGAATTTGAAAACCAAATAACTTGTAAATCTTGTCTTTCCATCTTTCACCCAATCAGAAAGAATAAGTCTATATGGAAGTCAAATAGGGAAGATTCACTCATTCAGTAGTATTTTTTAATCACTTTCTTTGTACCGATTTTTTTTTTTTTGTAATGCTAAATACTTTGTGTTAGGTACTAGGCATTGAAAAGACAGCAGTCAACAGATCCGCTGGCCCTCACAGCTTTCAGTCTCAGGGGGGAACTTATGTAAAGTAAGAAACACAATGGAGACCTTTGTTTTCTTTAAATTTGAATAAGTTTTGGTTATAAAATCATCCCTGTAAAAATTTTTGAAAAATAGAAACTCTAGAAAATTCTGATATCTCCACTAACAACCCACAGTCCGAGATGCTCTGGACGTGGGTTCTGATGCTGTTTCTCCTTACATGTGCCACACGCTAATGGGGAACTTCAGCCCGGCCTCTCGTTATCCATCTTTGGGTCCTTATGCTAGTTGGATATTCCTCTACCACTGACATAAAGGTTATGTACCCCATTGGCCAGTGTGCAAATGTACAAACATGTGCAAAATGATTTTGTGTGGTTTGTGGGCACAGTCCTAGAAATCTAATCGGTCACTTAGTACAAAGTCATCTCTTTTTCCATTCAATCCAGTTCCTCTGATGGCATGGAGAAGGAAGTCTCTTTTCAATATTAATAGGCATTTCTCACTGTGCTAACACGTGCTGATCTCCCTTGTTAATAAAGGCTTAAAAATAATTAGAATTTCTTGAGCGTTTTTCCTTTATTCATTGCCATTGTATTAATACGTGCTTCTATTTACAGCAAGGATGCTGAAGCTACATTCACTATGATGATGAGATGCTTCCTTTGAAAGTATATTTATTTGAGTAAAAAGGTAGCCAATGTAAATGAAAGTATCAAGTAAATCCAGGTGGTACGTGGACAGGTCAAGAACCATAATAATAGTAGGCAAACTGTTGAAGTTTGAGAAATGCTCAACTGGACTGATTCCAAAAATAAGGAATGTTTTGCTGGGTAGTATAACTTTAAAACATGAAACTACAGTTTCTCTTGGAACAGACAATATTCATAATGCCAATTTTTGAAACATCAGAAAGACCTGGAAGTCTGAAACCATAATGAAGATGGCGGAAATATCAGTGTCCAGGAGCACCAGCTGCTCTCACCCTCACCTACGTCAAGGTCCCAGTGTCCTCCTGGGACTCAGGGAGTGATCAATAGCCAAGAACTTTCCAGACACGGGAAGCCAGAGACACAAATTAATCTCATTACAACAACCAAGTGGGACAGACAAGAGGCTTTGAAAAACTAAAATTGTTGTTCTTCTTAAATGGTGGGAGGGTTTTCTCAGTTGGGTGTAGACAGTGTATTGACTCTTGAAACTTCTGTGGGTGAGGTTTGAGGAGGTCTGGATTTTAAAATATGGTTTCATTCTTTACCTGTTCATAACATTAAGTAGCATGCAACTGGTCTCAGGGAGAAGGGGTGTGACTCCAAGAAAGCTACACTTCTGAAGTCTCTGTAATTTCTTGGCCATCAGAAGCTTCCAGAAAAACCCGCAATCCTTTTCAGGGACATGTTCATGCCAAGGTGGACTTCAGTATGAGAAGAAGATAAATAGAAAGAAATGATCCATGCTGAAGATCTCGTCTAGAGAGAAAGCATGTCTGGTAGTGGAGAAGGACGCTCACACAGTCACAAAAAAAAACAATCCTTAAAGTCATCATGGCAGGGGGGAAACTTGGCTCTTAGAACCATTTCCACCACTTTCTAGCTGTACCACCTACAACAAGTTGACTTCCTGTCTCTGTACCTCCATTTCTCACTGAGTAAATGAGGATTGCCATACTTAACCGTTGGGGGCTACTTTAAGCGAAAAATGATACAACATGCCAAGTGCAGGAGATGTATTTGCAAATATCAGTTCCCTTTTCCTCCCCTCCCACTGGATGTTTTAAAGATAGAAATAAAGGCAGGACTTGGAACAAACGAGGTATAGGGAAGAGTCCTTAAGCTTGAATCCAAGAGAAGAGATGCAAGGGTCTGTGAACACCCTGAAATCATCTGCAAAATATTTTGTTCATGTTTCCTTTTCTGGGAAGACAGTCCGGATCTGTCGAGTGAGTCTCTTAAAGGGGTCTGTGAACACCACCACCGCCCAAAAAACGCTTAAGAACGACTACAGGAAAGATGCAAAGATGAGCTCCAAAATTGGAGCTCGGCAGACCGATAATAATGATGGTGGCATTGACTTTTGATAGCATTGGAATAACGCCTCTCCTTTTGGGGCAGGACTGTAACAATGTTTGAAGTTGGATATGTTGGACCCCAGCCCACTGGCCCCTCCTAGAAGTGTTTTAACTGAATTGAACTTTGGAACGATGAATGCACCCCTGTTGAGAGCTGATGTAAGCAGCAGCGTCTGATGCTAACCACTGTCCTGTGGTCAGGACAAGGCTGAGGACCCTGCTTAGTACACAGTGCCTGCTTGCTTTGTGAGGTCCATGTGATGAATTTCTCTGGGCCTGTTACCAGAATTTTCCTGAGCAGGTCCTTTGTTTTTACCTAGCCATCCTGTGTATTGCGTGATCGCCCATAGTTCCCTCCTTGCATCAGCTACCAGAAAAGGTCATGGTAATTGTGTTGCTTACTTACAGCCAGGACTGTGGTTCGTGTTTTCGATGGTGACCCCTCTCCTGGCTGCATCTGCATGTTAAGCTTCCCTTTGTTGCATTTGAAGCTGCATCATTTATATTACCTTGCTATACTGTTTGCACTTATGTCGGCCTCCTTCAAGTTCTTTTTTGGACAAGGGACACATAAGCAATGTCCAGGAATGGTGAGACAAAGCTGTTGGCCCCAGTTCCTGTAACATTCTGACTCTTGCTTTTGTTTTTATCTTCCCTTTAGTCAGTTAAAGAGGATTCGGTCCCCACAGGTGCAGAACACAATGTAAGTTACGCATTAAATGACAGAATCATTCCATTCTTGTCTTCTGCATGTTGGACCTTGAGGCATTTCAGCTCTGGAGTCCTCCGTTCTTGCATGCTCCAAGTGTTATTCATCTGCCGTAGACTCTTTCACCCTTATACATGAGTAGGGACCACTGGGGAACGACTTTGGATGAACATGTGTGATGCCCATTGAATGAGTGCAAACTAAATGCAGAATCGTAGCATATACTTTAATAATTTACCATTTAGGGGCTGAAAGAGTCTACAAAACATAAGAACATCTTTACACTTCCTTATGGGACAAGGATGCTGCACTCTCTGCTTCACTCTACTTTGTTTGCTTCTTTCACCTCCATTTCCAATGGCAACCCAGATTCCCTACTAACGGTGGTTGGTACCCAAGACAGGTAGTTGCATCGGGCATGAGAGTATCTTGTTGCAATAGATGCTGAGACTGCTGTTCTCAGGCTGGAGAACAGACTCCATGAGCCTACCCATGAGAGACAGAGGTTGATTCTCACTGTCTTTTGGGGTCTTTAATCTTCTAGAGCGGTGGTCAAACTTTTCAAGACAGTGCATTCATGGTCATCATAGTTTTATCTACCCCTTAGGGTTCTTGTGAGAATTAAACAAATAATGCATGTAATGTCTGTACTTCAGTGCCTGAAGCATAGGAAGAACTCAGTAATTCAGGGATCAGCAAACTATAGCTCGTGGGCCAGTTCCAGCCCATCACCTGTGTTTGTATGGCCCACAAGCTAAGAATGGTTTTTACATTTTTAAATGTTTGGAAAAAGTCAAAAGAAGAATAATATTTCATAACATTTGAAAGTTATACAAATTTCAAATTTGTTTATGAAGAAAGTTCTCTTAGAGCACAGCCACACTCATTCCCTTACATGTTGTCTACGGATGGGTTCGTGCTACAGTGGCAGAGTTGAGTAGTGGCAACAGGGCCCTTTGCAGGAAAAACTTGGCGGGGCGCCCCCTACAGTCACTGTTCTGACATAGGAGTTGTAACATTGTGAATGAGGGCTTCCTGTAATCGGTGATTGTATTCCTTGTGAAATTACGCATCTCACAGCTGACTCCGTGCCCACGTGGAGTGAAAGCGTCTGTAAAACAATTTTCTCCTCCCAAGTAAGAGAGATGTCATTAGTCAAAACAACGCATAGGACGCTAAGCCTTCCAAACAGGACAATTAGGTGTTTTTAACTGTATTATAAAAGAGTTCATTAGCTAGCAACTTCTGGCTAAAATATGGTTGAGCTTATCTTGTTAAATTTCTCTACCACAGGTTTCAAAAACCAATCTATTAACCAATGTAAAGCAAAGGACAGAGTGATTTCAACATTTCTCACAGTTTTTTCATGAAAAGAAAAATAAGACTTTTGAAGTCCATGGAACTTTAGCCCTTTCCTAAAATGAGCTTCTGTCCTATCAGAGTAAACTCTATTTATCTGGACTACAGAAGTTATCTAATCCTTCAGTTGTGATCGAAACATGTTTTGTCTGTTGGTTAATTGAGCTAATGTTCTAACTAATGGGGAAAAACCTCTTTCCTTCCCAATGACCTATATGATCAAGGAAACAGGTAGTTCTGTTGTTTACCTCTCTTAGTAAGCAACCTCCCAGTTGCAAGTAAAAGAAAACCCAACTCAACCTGGATTAAAAAGGAAATGGTTTCTACAGGCCATCATCAGTAGGAAATAGAATTGATTTCAAATAAATCTTGGTTCAGGACCCTCCCTTGGCCCAACCTTCCTGGTTTGGCTCTGTGTTCAGCTTTCCAACTGCACACCACCCAGTACAGAGTAAAGGAGAGATTTGTTGACGAGCAGCCCTGCAGGTCCTGGAATTTGTTCTCTTTCATTGGCTGAAATGGGTTCACACGCTCTGTTAGCCAGCTTCCACCAGACTATGTTGCAGTGACAACCAAGCCCCAAGTTTCGCTGGCTTTCAACAGAAAAGATTTTTCCCCCCCTCATTCATGCTGCTTGTCAACTATACGTTGGCTATAGGTGATCCTCATGGCCTCTTCCTGCGGAGATCTAGACTGAAGCAGCCCCTTTGACAAGGACGTGCAGTTAGAGTGGCAGAGAGGAAACGATGCCATAGGTGAACCATGCAACGGCTCCAAACACTTCAATTCCATTGTAGTTTCCATCATGTCTATTCATATTCCATTTGCCAAAGCAAGGCACACAGCACTGCGCATGGATGTAATTCTTTTACAGGAAGGGGGAGTGAATAGTCAGGAAAATAATACAATCTGCCACGTACTGCCATCCCCAAACTTACCTGGTCAAGGAGCTAGATCATGTTGACTGGTTTACACCTGCTCAACTGACTTCATCCAAATACGTCATTCTTAAATTAGGGAGGCTTGTCCCCCCAAAGCAAAACTGGGGTGCTGTGAAAAGAACGGGGAGGGGAAGAGTTACTGGATAGAAAAAGAAAAGCTCTACCCAGTCTTTGTAATCAGATAATCATGTTATAAATCAAATCAGAAAGAATCTAAAAATGACTCTAAAATAAAAGCTTTTAATATCAACATTATTATACCGTGTATGAAGTTCACGTGGAGGAAATCTACAAGTATCTTGCTACACGTCAGTTTGCAAACCTCACAGCTCTAGTAAAAACTGTACAAACCAAATTTTAAGAATATGATATAATATTTGAGGCAAAAAGGGAAACTTTATTTTACCAAAATGTGTATCTTCCTGCAGCCTCTAATATCCCCTCCTGAAATCAAGCAAAGGGGATTTAATTCTAAATTACAGCATAAATCTGACTTTAATTATGTCCATTAAAATATGCAGATGCAATCATATATTCTAAATAAAGAACAACTTTTTCCAAAGCCATGGCCTGGAAGGAAATTGGAAAAATTTGATCCAAATAAAAATCAAATTCTTATGTCGTATGTGTAAATCAGCTCCCAATTTAGCTCAGATCCTTCTGGGTTTCCACTCTGGGTGTCAGTGTATTGGCCTGATACCGTGTATGGGAGTACATGGAAGGCTCTGGGAGTCATTTATTTTCTTTTATTTCATTTTTTTGGAAAATGGACTCTGTCCTGGGATTTATAAGTTGACATCTGTCAACATTTGGAAAGGCCTGGCAAGAGAACTATTGGGAATCCAATGAAGTTGATTTACAAAGGTATTGCCATACAATCTGATATTTTGTTAGGTGAGTAATTTTCCCTCCCAGCCCTTGTACACACAAAACAAGAACTTGCTGCTTCAGAGACAGAATAATTCTAAACCCAGAGTCAGTGAATCAGACGCTTTCGTTACCTACCTAAGGGCCATGTCTCATGCCTCCACCTTTCTTTTTATGATCTCAGGATACGAGAAGTGGCAACTACTATACCCCCAAAGTATTTTATTGTAATCAGTCTAAACCAATAACCCCATTTTCTTTACCAATAATTAGTCCAGGGATAAGAACGTAGCCTACTTTTGGCCATTGAAATATACCCTGAAACAGGGGATCAAAATACAGAGGTTTGTTTGGAGCAAATCCTTGGCTGTGACCTTCCTTCCTTTTTAGGACATTGATTTGAGGATGTGACATCTGGAGCTGTGGCAGCTACTTTATATCCATGAGGCAGCAAATAGAAGGATGAAAATCTAGCATGCCATGAAGGACAGAGCCACAGGATAGAAAGAGCCTGGCTTCTTAGAGACATTGTGGGTGATTTCACATAACCCATGCCCATGGAGTAGATCGCTCTCATAATTGCACAAGTAACGACCAGTAGTATTAACTGAGGGCTGATTGTGTGTTGGGCACTGTTCTAGAGACTTAACATGCGTTGCCTGATTTGACTCTGAAAACAACTTTCTGATGTGTAGACTCTTCCCATTGAGAAACAAGAAAACACAGCCACAGCGATATTGAGTGGGGACCTTGGTTCAGAGCCCCTGGAGGGATAGGTAGAGTCAAAATTTAGACTCAGGCAGGCTGGTGCTTGAAGCTACGCTCAGGATTGCTATGCCAGGCTGCCTACATTTCAGGCTTACCCCAGGACTCTTGGAGCTGAAGCGTATTTTTTTCAGAAATACAACTGAATTAAATCAGGCTGAGAGGTGGAAATCCACGTCCACATGTGACTGTCAATCCCAGTCTCAGGCTCCAGCCTCAGCCAGGATTCCTAAAGAGAGGCTTGGATCACCGGCTGGCCCAGCAGCAGAAGCCTCCTCATGAACGTGTTTTGTTTGAACCAGTTAGTTCTTTTATCCTTTGAAGGTCTTTCAATGGGGCAACTTGACTTTCGTTCACCATGGTCCCCACCGCTCCATTTTGTCTTGTCTTTGCTCAGTGCATGCTGCTATCACCTGCCTGGCCTCCTGGGGACTCTTGATTCTGTAATTTCCCATACTAGATCTTTGTTTATAAAGTGAAAATGCAAGAAGTCGTGTCAATATTTTAACAAACGGAAGCTGGGGAGAGACAGCTGTGATTTAACGGCTCTGTTTTTGGGGTGTTCCTGCCCCCTGATTTGTTGATGGGCAGTCAGCTGCCTGTTTCAGCTGACAGCAGAGATGAAGAGTCCTTCTCAGTGCAGATCATTTGGGTCATTTGCAAACCGATAGTATATTCTGTATGAAGGAAAGCCAAATGATTTTGCCCACAAACACACTGCATTTGTGGAAATAAGTAAGTTCCCTTCTCTGCTCCCTGACAGCAAGAACAAGACTCTGAAGACACTGAGTTGGGGCTGGTGCCAGGAAAAAAAAATGCCAAGGTGTCTTTCACTCAAGAGCGCCTCCCTGTGAGATAGGGAACAGCAAGTTTGTGAGGTCAAGGGCCAGAGAGGCAATATATTAGATTTTGCAGGCCACAGACAGTCTCTGTTGGATATTTTTCATCTTTTAACACATTTTTTACAACTCTTTAAAAATGTAAAACCCATTCTTAGCTCAGGGGCCATATCTAAACAGGCTCTGCAATGGATCTGGTAATGGTTTGCCCATCCCTGCCTGAGGAAACAGAAAGGAAATTATAAAACCCTGTCCAGGCCACTTCACTCTGTCCTGTTGCAGGGACCAATGCCAATGCAGAAACTGTCCCAGATGTGACTGGGGTAAAGCACAAATTCAGAGAGGCCGTGCAACAGGACACGTTTTAGGATCCAAATGCAGCTGAATCAGGCCTCGTATCTACGTGCCATGTCTGGCGAGCCTTCCCCCACAAAGACATCCAAGAGGCACTGAGCTCACTAGCTATTGTGCAGGGGACCGTAAGCAACCTAGCCAGAGTTTTCTTGCCACAGGCATTTTTCTTCTGAAAGCATGAACTTCAGTTAAGCAGCCATAGCTTAACTGGTGTTAAGTGACTGGTCTGGGTTGAGCTGGGGAAATGAGTTAACAAGGAAGTGGAGCCTGTTAAACCCAGTGGCTTTCACACAATCCTTTCTGCATAGAGGACAGTTTCCCCATAGTCGCGGGACAGCTAGGATATGGAATGGAAGGTGTCATGGTTGCCATCTCTAAGGTTGGACTCTTAAGGGAATGACAGCTCCTGATTTTCACACAGGCCCAGGTGTAATTCACCTTGATGGCAGACCAAAGAGGCGGGCCTACTGGAATGGAAGGGGTTTGGAGCATGCTCAGAGGGGCAGTCCCCAAAAGGGACTTCCTGTCTGTGCCTTGTACCTTCATAGGGCAGGAATTTTGCCACTTTCAGGTCAGTCTATTTGGCAGTTGTTCAGAAAATGGCTGTTTGAGAGCACAGTAGATGGCATGAATGGTCTATCTTGAAAATGTGCCTCTGTGGAAAGGATCTTAGATTCAAGCCGGTAGCTACAATGTGGACAAAGGGGCAGCTGGGACCCCACTTCATAAAACACGTTTTAGAGGAATGTGGGTTTTTTTGGTGTTGTTTTTTTTTTCACTGTCTTATTCCTGGGTAAAATAATCCAGGTGGTGTGTGAATCACCAGTAGAGGTTATAAAGTCCGAGGAAGTAAACTCAGCCTTACAAACAGTGGATCTCAATGAAGAGAGAGATGCCACAGCAGAACCCACAGACGTCAAACTCAAGAGAGAAGACCGCAATCCCCCGAGGACCTCCTTGATGACACTTCTCAGACAAATGGTAAGCCACTCGCTTCCGGCACAGAAAAAACGTGAAAACCGGGATCAGCTTCCGAAAATAATGACCCATGTCACAGGTGGCATGCGATGTGATTGTAGGTGGTATGGGTGGCATATGAATTGTGCAGTGAGAAACTTGCCTTTTGTGCTTCTGATTCAATCACAGAGAAAGTCTCAGTTGATCGCTAATATTCCTTAACCTTTCTTTAACCCCGACTAACTCCTTCTTTAACAAAGAAAGAGCTGGCTGGACTTGGGTCCTGAGTTTTAGCAGACAACAGTAGCCACCTAGAAGTTAATATTATTGTTTATTTTTCATTTTATTTATCTTTAAAGATTCCTTCCATTTACGATAAATGATACTGCTTTTTTTTATTATGGCAATTATATGCAGTTTCCTTTGAAAATACATTTATTTACATAAAGGATGTAGCACTTGTTAAAGAATTAAACAATACATAGTCAAAGTGATATGTTGATGTTGGAAAAATTGCAAAGGTGACAAGTGAGTGCCACAAACTTAGACAAAGCTGACTTGTAGACAATTCAGATAAGGGAATGACAACATAATTTTCTAATAATGCATAAGTGTAACTTAGTTGGTGAGTTTGCCATGCTTTTAGTTTGTATAGAATAGAAAAAAAAATGTGGGCAGACATCTTTTGGTATCTATGAAGAGTCATGCATATTACATATCTAAATATCCAGGAACTTAATATTATGAAATAAAACCCAAATCAGTTGGAAGACCAAAAAAAAAAACCCCAAAATGCATGTAAAAGGTCATTAGTTTAATTCTCTTTTAATGAAAAACAAGAATTTCATTATAGTGTGCCTTTATTTTCAGAAGTATTTGGGAATTTAATCCTTTGAGAAAGCAACTCTGTTTTCACAGGCCCAACCTGTTAAGGAATTCTTTCTAGTCTGCAAAACAAAACAAAACCCTTATCAGTGAGCATTGAGGCATATTAGAAATAACTGTTAGAAATTGTTGACAGGAATCATTTTCCTTTATTGTTGGCTTCTCATGGAGTAAGATCTGTAGAATAAGTAGTGGTCACAGTCTTATGGCTGGAACCCCATCTGTATTCCTGACCATTTATTCTGCAATTTGGCGTTAAAAATGGGGATCAAGATTCGAGATTTTTAAGCTAATTTTTACATGATGTCAGGAACAAAAAGAACATTTGGCCTATTTCTGACAACCCATCACATTTCAGATGGGATCCCCAAATAGCTCATCATAACATTGAGGGTGATTCACCTTTTCCATTGCTGAAAGGAGTTGAGAGATACTCAAAAAAAAAGCAAACAGAATTACTTTCGCCTTCAAATAACCAACCTGAGACTTCTTTATTTAAAAGAGAGGAAAATAAAAGAGACTCCAAATAAAAAGTGAAAGACATCTAAACAACCTGTTGCATCCATTCCAAACAAACCCTTAAATTCTAATGAGGCCCCATATTATTTTAATTCATCCTCCAGAGTTATCCATCACATGTCGCTTGGGGATATTTTTTAGGAATAGAAACTGGGTAAGCCTGAACTGTTAGGGGAACAAACTTGGAAACCAAAGAGTCCTTTGGAATTGATTTTCCATAGGCAAGGAATAGAGGTAGAAAAGGACACATTTTTCTGAAGCAACCCTCAGTGGATTCTTAGTGTCAGGTCCCATCATGTTCATTGTTCTTATTACCTCTTGCCCATGAAAATGGAGACGCCTGGGAGCTTGAACATTATTCCTTTCAATGTTCAAATTCCAAAGCTTCCATGATTGTTGGGATTTCTCCTGAAATTCCAAATATCCTAATGATCCTTGTCTTGCACTCTGTTTTGTTTTCATTATTACCTTATGTTACCATTGTGATTAATTTAAATCCACAAAAGACATGGGTTCCCGGTTCACCACCATCCTCACCACTCTCTGTTGACACACCCAGCCCAACTCATTCATTTATATTCCTGGCCCTATCCCTGTCGGTATTTGAGTTTGCTGCCCTTGATTTAGCACCACCTCATTCTTTATGACAACTTCATTGAATCACGTTGTCTGGATTTATCGTACTCTGATTAACCATTGCTCTACTTGGTTTGTTTCCAACCTGGTACATTTCATTCATTCACTCATTCAACAAACAATTATTGAGCACCCACGATGTTCCAGGCACTAGGATACAACAGTGAGCATAAATAGACATGGTTCTTGTCCTCATGGAGATATAAAAAGCCTAATGAGAGAAGCAGACATTTATTTTTAACTCTATTCCATATCCCATGAGCACGCACCACGTATCTCAACTCACATCATCTCAGCTGCTCCACTAACCTACATGAGCATCTTTGTACCCCTACTTTTGTGCATATGTGTTAATACCCCACAGTGCAGACTCCTGGAAGTCAGCTTCAACAGCTATTTCCCGGAAACACTTTCAGGTACCATTTCATAGCTTCTCAACTAATTTAAAGACTTTGTATGTATGCAAGAAGAAGAAGAAGAAAAAAACTCTAATGGCTTGAAAATAGAGACAACATCTGGCCCATCGCTATGGGATTTTTTTTTTTTAGCCACATAAGGGAATGTTTTGACCGATTTTAGATATTCTTAGCAAAATATGGCTTTTAAAAAATAATTGTTGCAGTAGACGGGAACACTCGATTTCAAGTGCATCACCTTTGTTTTGTAATCTATATCTCTATTCATCAGATCATTGATTTTTCTACCGTCTAATCTTTGCCTCCCTTAAGTTCCCTTTAGATGATGTATTTACTATCCCATGGCAAAGGAACCCTTGGTTGACTTTTTTTTTTTAATAAATGCATTGCCCTGTTCATTTCTGAAGAGATATCTTTCTTTCCAGAAATTAACCTCATAAAAATAAAACTAGAAAGAATATCTTCTTTTTCAAATAATTTTATTTCAGGGAAAAGAAAACAGAGTCACGTAAGTCCTTACTTTGCATTCTGCACATGTAGATATACCACTTCACAAAAACCCTATGGGCTCCTACAGGCTTTCAAAATAATTGCAAGGGACAGCTAAGTCATCTGTCATGCCCTAAAATAAGAAAAGATTCTTCTGTGCATTAATTCAGCTGTATGTCAAGAAATTGGATAGTTGAAGCACGAGTATATTTTTATAAAGTGAGTGGGTAGAGAGCTGTATTAATGTACCCACAAACCAGGTAGGCAGATGAAACTGTTAAGGTGGTAGATAGAAATATACATATAGGTTTGGTTGATAATTTGTCAATATTAATAACACCTTACGTTTGAAAAGTACTTTCCTCCTCCAAACTATTGTCATGTGCTTTGTCTCATTTAATCCCCCTCCAGTCTCTTTAGAGCATTAGTTTTGTAAGAAACTCTTTGTTAGAAGAACATTCTCAGGCTTAGCTAAGAAAGACTGAGAGCTTCAATGTGGGGCAAATTCAAGGCCCAAATGAGGAGACAGCTATGAAATCAGAGTTTTGGGTTGATTATATTTAATCTAATAAGCCTAAGAAAGCCTGTTGAAATTTACTATCGGGGGGGGGGGGGGAAGACAGTGGCTTATCATAATAATAATTATATAAAAAGAAAACCAAAAAAAACAGGAATTTTCTAGCCAGTGTTCTTGACCTCAAATTCTTCTTTGAGTATTTAAGTATGAATACTGAGCTACTCTTTCAAGGAAGGTTTCTGAAGGGAGCATTTGTGTGGGCAATTCCTGTTCACACCAGTGACTTGCATTCCTGAGTACCCGTCATTGGCTCCTCTCAGTTATAAAGAGTGATAATAATAGCTACCGTTTATTGACTGCATGCAAATGGCATGGCCAGCTCTGTGTTGATAAGCACACTGCATGCGTTCACTCAATTATTAATAGAAAAACCCTGTGAAACAAGCACTCTTCCTGCCCCGCGTGCAGATGAGGGCAGGAAGACCCAGAGTGTTGAAATGACCAGTCCAAGGTCATAGAGCTGCTCACTGGCACAGCCAGAACTCAGACTCGGGCTTCCGTTGACCCTAAAACTCATTCTCGTACCCATGTTATTTCTGCTTCCGGTGCTCCTGGGAGCTGTTTGCTGTGAGAGTAAATGGAGGTAGAACAACCATAGCTCCATTCTGGGGATTCTTCTAGTGATGTTTTCTGTGTAAACATCATTTTTATGTTTTGGGCTTACCTGCAATTACCTAAAATTACACTTACCTGAAATTGCAAGGCAAGAGCGAGGAGAATTAATACATGACTTCCATAAAGCTGGGACATAGTTTTCTGAATATACTCGTCACTAAAGTGAGATTTACCTCTGCTGTATAATTTTGCCTGAATTGCCCAATTCCATTTCCAGTGAGGATCTTGGGAAAACACAAAGCTTGGATGCATAGCCTTTGTTTATCCTGGAAATTTCTAGCAAGTCTTATTCCTTGAATTTGTTGTAATGAGGCCGATCTAGTAAACAATCTTGCTGATACACTCCTACTAAATTAAAATGTCATCCTAAGTCTTTGTCTTTTGCATCTCAGCTTTGGTTGGATTAGATGTCCATCAAAATACATTGCATTCCTTTCAAAGAAATGTGAACTGGCCATCAAGCATTTCATTAGAATTTTGAATATCTGTATCAGAGATGGTTCAAATATTCCTCAGAGTATCAAGCTATAGGAATGCATGACACGATGAAAGGAATAGAAAATGACTTTATTAATATGCAAGGCTTGGATGTCACAACCAGATGCCATCTGCACACTGCATGCTGGTGTCCTGACACACTTCCCCTTTGACTCTCATGAATAAGAATAAACTCCATGAAGGAAGTTGCTCAGTATCACACTGGAGAAATCTCTGAAATTACTTCATGGCCTTCAGACTGTTCTTTACAGTATTAAATAGCCTCTAAAAGAATTTTGGTCTCCTTCAAAAGTAACTGCTATTTTTAACAACTGGAAAAAATAGGCTTCTGTGGTTATGGTCCTTTGAATACAGAGCCCAACATGAACTAGTCTAATTTGTCTTTAAAAGAGGGCTCTGCCAAGATGAAAGAAGAGGGTTAGGGAGAAACCAAAGGAGGGAGGGAGGAAAGAGAAGAGGAAGGAAGGAAGGAAGGAAGGAAGGAAGGAAGGAAGGAAGGAAGGAAGAAAGGAAGGAAGGAAGGAAGAAAGGAAGGAAGGAAGGCGTTAATAACTATTGTCATTGAATAGACCTCAGATGGACTTAATAAGACCCTTAGTCTAAACTCAGCATAAGTCACCTTTGCATAAATACGGCTTTATATGCCTCAAAATGAACAACAGAGAAAAAAAATCATAGAAAACCTTGAGATATTCTTTTTTTTTTTAAGAGGTTGAACTTTTTGCAGTGATCTCCCTGACAGCCTGAGGGTCTGGTTTCAGGATGCTAACCTAGGTCCACGGCTGTGGGGAGAGCCCTCTGATTCAATCCAAACTCTCCTCCAGGAGCTCTCAAAGAAAGGGAGCGGGGAGAAGCTAATATAATATTAAATGTCAACTGTAATTGAAAAGAAAGAAAGAGAGCAAATTCAACCCTTACCCTGACAGAGTATCTAAGGGATACCAAATGGAAACAACTAAAGGGAAGATAAAAATCTCTGTTTCTTACGGGGCGAAGGTGGTTAAAGGTCCTTCATGACCCACTGAAAAAGCCATTTTGTTTGTTTGGTGGGTTGGTTGGTTTTCTGCTATTCCACGTTCCCCGAAGGCTGACTAATGAGGACATGCCACTATATTCTAAAGGACACTGGGGGACGTGTTTGAGTAGGAAGGGCTCTCACTACACAGCCCGAATTCTGGAGGCCAAATGAGATCCCCAAGCGGCAAAAACCTTTGAGCGACACGGGAAGGCTGACAGAGCTGGTTGTGGGAGAGGAGTGGTACCCAGGAGGGTCCATTTGTCTAAATGTTCTCGCGCATAGAGCATTACTGAATGCACTGCTGAAACGCCAGACACCAGCGTTGGCCTACATTGGTCTATAGCCAGTTAGCTTCATGCGGCGATGCTCAAACTCAAGTGTGCCTCGAAATCACCTGAAGGGCTTGCTTAACACACAGTTCGCTGGGCCTTACCCCTCAGAGTTTCTGATTTTGTAGGCTTTGAGTCATTCTCAAGAATCTACATTTATTTCTAGCACGTTCCCAGGTGATGCTGAAGCTGTGGGTCCCCGGATCACAACTGTAGAACAGCTTAGGGTGTGGGTTTAAGGAGCCAAAGCAGTGAATTCAACCCCATCCAGCCCTGTCAGTGATGCCCCTGGCCACAGGGGGCGCTAAAGAAAGGGAAGTGGAATGTTCAACATGCCCCATCTCCCCCCTAGGGGACAAAAATACAATAAAAAACCCACCACTCACTGTCACTAAGGGAAGACTACCAATGGTTTCATTGTTAGTTTATTTAGTTTATTTTTTACTATTTCCAGTTTTATTGACATACATCACTGTATGTGTTCCAAGGGTATAGCATAAAGGTTTGACTTACGGTACCGAAGTATATTGTGAAATGATTACCCCAATAAGTTTAGTTAGCATCCATCATCTCATATAGGGACAGTAAAAAGAAATGGGGGAAAATTTTCTCCTTGTAATGAGAACTCTTAGTATTTACTTTCTTAACAGCTTTCATATACACCATCCAGCAGTGGTAACCATAGTCATCATGGTACATTACATCCCTAGTACCTATTTATCTTATAACTGGAAGTTTGTACCTTTTGACCCCCTGCCCGTTCATTGATTCATTCATTCCATATGTCCAATCACTTCCTGGTTCCAACATTGGTATTTTCATCATCATTTATTTACCCCAGAATGACCTAACTCCAGGGTTCAGGGCTTTTGTTGTTGTAGTTGTTGTTGTTTTTGGAGGCCAACACTTGAATTTAATTAGACTTTGGGTATAGACCACATGGAAATTGCATATCTCATACTTAATATAGCTCTAGCTGGTCTTCGTTTGTCACAACCCCGAATCTCAATACGAGTGACTATGGCCATCCATTTCAGAACTTCTTTTGCGTTCTCCATTTTGTTGTGCTTATGGTAGCTGAAAGGCCATTGTCTGTTTGTTATTTTAGTCAGTGAAAGGGAATGGAGGGATCACCCACTCAGAAGAAATAAATGGGAAAGACTCCAGCTACCAAGTAAGTGACCTGTAAATTCGGTTCGGTGGTGGGTTTAGCTGGCATGTTCTCGCTTCTTTCCAGCCTCATTTCCAATGCAATTCTCAACCACAGCCAACTCACTGAGCATCTCTCAGTGAAGTACCTACTGTATATCAGGCACTGACTTGGGCTCTGCAGGTACAAGCGTGAATGAGCCACAGTCCCTTAGCTGTTTCTTACCGCAGGCTGTCACACATGCTCTTCCTTCTTCGCCTTCCTCTCCTACAAGTCTTGACCTCAGTGTCACAGGGGGACTCCATTCAACAAGTGTTTCCTGAGTGTCTCATCTGTACTGGGCACTCGGATCCTCATAGTCTCCCAGAAGGAGTCACCTCTGGCGATGTGAAACCAGATGACCAGTCCGCCCAGGACTTGCCTGGTTTTAAAACTGTAAGCCGGATGTCCTGGAACCCACTTGCCCCCAGACAAACCAAGATGTTTGGTCCCCTTACATTTGGCACTTCTAATGGTCCAGACACTGTGACATATAGGCTTTCCATTATTAGCTAATTGAATCCTCCCAACACCATGAGGTATGATTTCTTTATTACCTCCGTACAGGTGAGGAAGCTGAGAGGGCAAACAATTTATTCCGGGCCCCACAACAAAGATGTGCTGGAGCTAAACCAGGTTCCTTTGACTCCAGACACTAAGCTCTCTCAAAAGACACTCACTGTCTCAAAATCTTCCACACAACAGAAACAGTTAATGGGGTGTATGAACGGGGTCACTGGTTTCTGGCCTTTCTGAGCAGCATCGTGGTGGGAGTTTCTGGTTCATTCTAAGGCAAGTATCTGCTCAGGGCTGTCTGCTGTACTTGGACATCTGACATCTGTATTTTAGCATTCGCTACAACGTTGGCAGCCGGGATCTGAAGAAATCTTCAGGACCTGTTGTGACAGAACAGTTTCTTGGGGTGCACCAGATGTCTAATGCTTCTTTCTCCAAGGAATTCTGCCCCCCCAGAAGCTGCAACCTGGGGAGGCCTCAGAACTGGGCAGTCTTCTCCGTCTTCTCACCTATTTCCAAGGGGTGGGCTTTAAGTTCAAGTAAATTATGGATAAAAGACTTCAACTTCTTAATAGTTTTTTTTTTGTTATCTGTAAGTTACCCAGCATTTTCAAGAATGTTGGATTTTACAGATTCATCCCTCCAAATTGTAGGAACCAAATAGGATTGTAAACATTTATTTCACTTTAGCACGAAAGGATGTAAGTTCAGAACTAAAAGTAAAATGATCATCTTCTCTTATGAAGCAAAAGGGCAGTTTCACACCAGAAATCAAGACAGACATAAAGAAAAGAATAGCCATCCACAAGAAAAGAGTCACATGTGTTTTCAAGTGGAGACACCCTCTCAAAGCTGCATGAACATAAGAGGGATTCAGGAACAGTTGGATCCAGGGGCACATACAACGCCATCAGTATGCAGGCGCCTTCTACCACCTTCTCTTCATCTCTCAGCTCTGCCCTCCTCTGTGTTGGCTTCCTTTTCAAGCAGATTTTTTTTCTGGAAATGGCGGTGGCCCCGGAAGCTCTAGGCTTTCATCTTCAAACACAACAGAAAGGAAGCAGGACTCTTACTCGGTTGTTTTAGCAAAGCTCTGAGATTAGCTCAGTGTTTATTTGCTTGGCCGTCCTGAACCAATCACAGCAGCCCAATCACATGCAATGCTCTGATTGGCCAGGCCCGAGTCACACGCCCTTGTCCAGGGGTGGACTTAGTTTGCTTAAATGCCGAGGCATACGTGAGAAAGACGAGTGGTTCCCCAAGGGAAACCCAGCTTCTGGTATCAGAAGAGGAGCGAATGCTTGCTGGAAATGCATAAAATTAATTAACAAATCATTAGATAAATAAATAAATGTCCCTTACTGTGGTCTTGTGCCATAATTAAGCATTGGCACATTTTACTTTTCTCCTTTTTCATTTTACCCAGGACTCATGAAAACATAGACACCACCCAACATGTGAACATCTCTGTTTCAACCTATTTCTTCACCTGCTATTGAGAGTTGTCTTGCAGCCACTAAAATGCATTTTGTTTGACCTTGCTGCAGACATCAGACTCCACGGAGAAGGCCATCACGCCACCAGAGCCGGAGCCAGTGTTAGCCGTCCAGAAGGGCAAAGAGGGCTCCGCGAAGGACAAGAAGGCGACGGCCGAGATGAACAGGAAGAAGAGCAACAAGCCGGAAGCCAAAGAACCGGCCCCGTGTGCCGAGCCGGCTGTGGTGGAGGCCAACTCCCTGCAGGGTGGGAACAAGCCCCCGAAGAGACCCGAGAAGCGGCGGCCGTCCCTCGGGGGCTTCCTCAAGGGCCTGGTAGGTGGACCCTTCACCTCTCTTTCCTGGGCTCTCGGGCCAGGGGTGTGCTTCCCACTTCGGAAGGGGACCGACTGGCCAGGGGCTGGGGGACGTTTGTCACATGATATTTACGGAGCACCTACTGTGTGCCAGGCGGACACAGACCTTGCTGCCTGGAGCTGACGGTCAGGTACAGGATGGGGGGGGGGCAGGAAGGACAAGGAGGCAGAAGGCAGGTGTGGGAGGGGCACTGCCTGCGAGGATGTGGCCTGGCCTGGGGTTGGCGAGGAGCGTCAGGGAAGGCTTCTTGGAGGAAATGTGGGATCTCGGGTTAGCCGGCGGGAGGAGGTGGCGAGGGGAGGTCTGAGGGCGAATGTGTTTCACACCGTGGAAGGTGTGCTGGAGGGGGAGCACTGGACTGAAGAGCGAATGTAAGGACGGGGAGATGGTGGCAGGGACAGGTGAGGACAAGAGGCAGCCATGTTCAGCTTTGGCCAAAGCGAACCTTGAAGAATTGAAATCAGGGAAATGGCTCTAAGCCTGACCCTGGGGGCTGAGTATACAGAGGCGACTAACACTTCGCTCCTTCTCTCTAGAGAACCCCAGTCGGGGGTGAGTGGAGGCCAGACGTAAGACGATTAATCTTTTGCATGCTTTATTTCTATTTGGCTCTTCTTTGTCGCCTCCCCCTGACTATTGCCTTTGGGAGGGCAGTGACCATACCTGTTATGGGCAGGTGCGCTGTTCTCCCCAGCCTGGGGGCCGGAACATCGTGGACACTCCCTGAGTGTTGAATGAATGAGTGGATGGAGTGAAATACAACACTAGAAAAGGTGTCGTTATATTTGGGATCGTGTAAGTCCTGGCAAACAAAGAGTGTCTGCAGGGACATTACTCAGGTGACAAGCAAGGTGACCAAGTGGAAACTAAAATGAGAAGCAGGTGGAATCAGACCTCGGACCCGTGGGAAAGCGGGCCCAGCCAAGAGCACAAGAAAATAACGCTGATGCTGGGTGTGAGGCCAGTGAGCGGGGGTTAACCTTCCCGTTGCAATAAAGATGGGGTAGTTACGTGAAGCCCCCTGCCCTAAGCCTCCTTGGTCATCCATAATTATTCCATCCCATGAATACCTGTAGGTATTGGTGACTTCTAATAGATAGAGATAGGTGAGGGCAATGGTTCCCCTGGCCCAAGTGTGGCCTTCAGAGCAGCCTCTCAGATCCCCAGTTTAAAGTTTTATGATAAATGTCATCATATTACTATCTCGTCTCTGTGCTTGAGTATCAGTGTAGAATCTCAATTTAAGATAGTGTTAAAGGTCACATTTTGAGGCTGTTTCCAAGTGTGGAGCCCTCTCCCAGGACCCCTCTTGCTCTCCCCAGCGCCTCAGGAGAAAGAAAAGCCTTCTCCATTTCAAAGAGATGAAGAAGAGAGAGTGACCGTGGAAAAGGGAGAATGCATAAAGGCTGATCACCGCTTGGGTGGTTTGATTGGAGTTTTTGTCTCCATTCTCAGCTCTAGCTCCTTGGAGAAGAGTCTGAACCCTAATCACACTTCTTTTCTGGGTCATTTCCAAACCAACTACACTTCTTTTCTGCTGAGAGTTCTGGTCGAACCGTTACCTGCCAAGCCGAGGTGCAGGGGGCGGTGTCTAGCGTGGGGAGAGTTGCATTCCGGAAAGGTTCTGAGCTCAGAGCCCCAGGGCCTCTCTTTCTTGGTGGCTCGCAGTTTCTTTTGCCACAGGCCCATAAGGTGGGTGTTCTCTGCATGCTTCCTTACCCACGAAATCCCGGGATCTAATAGGATGGGTCTAACCAGTGGTTCCACTCCAGGAGTGATTTGGGGACATTTGGCAATGTCCAGAGACAACTCTGATTGTCACAACTTTGATTTGGTGCTATTGGGACATTGTGGGTAGAGACCAGGGATGTTGGTAAATGTCCTCCAGTGCACGGAACAGTCCCCCACAGAGCAGAGGCACCCAGCTCAAAGTGTCAATAGTGTCGCGGCTAGACCAAGGCTTTGCAAACTACAGCACATGGGCCAAATCGGCCCACCACTTGTTTTTATAAATAAAGTTTTATTGGAACACAACCACATATGTTCATTTACATATTGTCTATGGCAGTTTTCACACTGAAACAGCAGCCTCAGTCCAGGCCCTAGAAACCTAGAAGCCTGTTCCTGGGTTTGAACCCAGCTTTACCACTTAGTGGCCATGTGACCTTGGACAAGTCACCTTTCTGAGTTTCAGGTACTCTATCAATGGGGCTAATAGGACCGATGTCACAGGGTTAGCATGGAGATGCAATGAGATCACGTAGCGCGTCCTTAGAATGAAGCCGGGCACGTTTTAATTTGTCAGGAGGGAATAACTATGTGGTGAGTCTTTTGGTCAGCCTCTCCCGAGGTTGTAAAGATGTAGAGAATAAGACACTGTGTGTCCTGAGGAGTTTGTGACCTAATCACTACATCAGGAAGTGTAAACAGGGTGGTCAGGAATGGCCAGCGCTGGGGAGACTGGCTCGGGATTCAGGCAAATGGGAGACAGAAGCCAGATCCCAGGCTTCCTAGTGGACAGCTCGATGTAAGTGACTGACCCGCGCCGAGCCTCCTCCTGAGCTGTGTGAGTGACGGTGGCGTCGACTGCTAGGGTGCTGTGAGGACCAGGTGTGAGCACAGCTGGAAGACCAGTCCCACGGACTGATGAGGCAACAGGCTCACAGGACGAGGAATTGGTCAGAGGTCACAAAGCCTGAGGAGCGGAGCAGTCCTCAGACCCAGTTCTGGCTGACTCCTGGGCCTGGGCTTTCTATACGCCATGTTGTCCTGGTCACCTTTATACTTCCAAAGACTAATGCAGCATAGTACACATAGTGGATGCTTGATACATGTACATACTATGCTAGATGTTATCCGGTGCTGTGTATACTCTACTATACCACATTCTGTTACGTAACACTGTGTGAATATACAATACTGTATGTCCTTCACCATAGTATATTCTACTGGCCTACCCGTACTGTGCACTACTATATATACTCCATACTATACTATATTTACTATACTGTACTTCCCTCTATATTATGTATACTATATAATATATACTGTGGTGCACTATACTATATCGTATACTTACTACATACTATGCTATATTCACCAAACTAGACTTCACTATACATATATGTATATACTATACAATATATACTATCCTATATTATACTATCCTATCCTATCCTGTACTACACTATACTATCTATATATACTATATATTATATAATATATATAATATACTACTCTATACTACATATAGTACTCTATATACTTTACTGTATGTATAGTGAAGTACTATATATACTATCTACACTATATATAATCTACTGTACTATCTATACTATCTCATATTATACTATACTGTATTTACTACAATGTAAGATAGGGCCAATTGTAATAGTACCTCTGATACATGCAGCGAGATGGATGCATCTCACATCCATTCTGCTCCATGAAAGAAGCAAGACTCGAGAGCTATATACTGTGTGATTCCATCGATATGACATTGTGGAAAAGACAAAAGTCTAGCGATGGAGAACAGATCGGTGTTTGCAGGGTCTGGAGTGGGGGGAGGGGTTGACTACACAGCACAAGGCGGGACTTTGGAGGTGATTGAACTGCTCTATATTTTTATTTTGGTGGTGGGTTACATGACTACTTGTATCCGTCAAAGATCATAGAACTGTACACAAAAGGCTTAATTTTATTGTATGCAAATTATACTTGGCAGAAAAGGTAAAATAAAAATAACAACAACAGTAATAATAGTACTTAACTCATAGAGTTTTTCAACTGCATTCAGTCAATACACAGGAGTACCTACTGTGTGCTGGGCACTTGCTAGGCGTGGAGGATACAGCAGGCAATCCACCAAGCCTCCATCCTGGTGGAGACAGATGTTAGACAGATAACATTGTTGCAGACAGTAATATGTTTTGTAAGAAAATTAAACAGAGCAGTGTGGTTAGAAAGTGATTAGAGAGGGTGGCTGAAGCAAGCTATAATTGTTGAGGGTTTTTGACTCCCCGGGGAACTGTTCTAAGTGCATGGCACACCTTATCTTAGAACAGCCCTCTCAGATAAGTTGTATCACCCCCATTTTAAAGATAAAGAAACTGAAGCACAAAGAATTAATTACTTGTCCCAGATTTCACACAGCTAGAAAGTCATAAAACTGGGCGTTGAACTTGGATGTCTGATGGGAGACCATCTTTTACCCGCCACCCACAAGTCAGGTGTATTTATTGAGCACAGCACCTGGTACAGAGGAAGTGCTAAATAAATGGCAGTGGTTGCTATTATTACACATCTTCATTAGGATGCAACTTCTTTGTATTTTTCTCCAGGGACCAAAGCGGATGTTGGATGCTCAAGTGCAAACAGACCCCGTATCCATTGGACCAGTTGGCAAATCCAAGTAAACAAATCGCCAAGGTTCCCACCAAGCCCTCCTGCCACCATGATGCCTTCTCCCTACTCCATCTCCTCCCCCAAACCCACTCCATGTATATATATTTTTTTCTTCTGATGGCCATCAAATGAAATTCTGCCTACAAATGAAGCCTGGGCTGTTGTATATTGAGGTGTATTCTTTACGTCTCTGGTCCAATCTTTCCTGGTAAATAACTGTGAGGATGGATTAGCAGGTTAACTAGTCAGGAAGAATTGGTGGTTGCCCAGAGTGGGGGAGGAGGGCATGGAGGAATGCGTTCTGGTTACGATATGACAAATAGGACAAATAGCAGTGACGGGTAAGGTGCAGGAGAGAAACGCCTGCTAGAAGGAATTAAGCTTTGTAGAAAATACAGGCTCATCCTCTAAGCTGGAAGAGGAGAGATGAAAATCTGTTTGTTTAAATTCATGTTTCAAGGAGAGAGAGCATGGGCTCTGTGTTGGGAGGTTGCCAATTTCCTGGAATGGAATGTGTGGGGATTGAATAAGAATTGTTTTTCAAATAGGGCCCTTGAAAGTTATTGAAGAGAGAGGGAAGATTGACTGGAGAGGGCTTGAAATGATTTGGGGAAACGATTGCTTTCTGAGGCTCAGTGACAAGGATGAGGATTACAACTTCAAACAAAACAAAACAAATAAGTGAAGTTGCAAGTTTCTTTTGCAACACAAGGGGGCGTCCGGGGCGCCATTTTAATCCTGTATCCCTAACAAAGATTGCGTCCCGGCAAGCTCACGTTATTAATTTTCTCAGATGGCTGAGGGGCTCACTTCATCTGTTCTGTCTGACACTTACCTCAAGTCTGTCTGTAATTTCCTAATGTTCTCAGGATGTGCTCTGATAAAACCCTCCCCATAACCCCCCGTTTAATAAACATTTATAGAAGATTATTCAAATATCTGAGTTTTCTTTAATACTTGTACAGAGGAGCAAATAGGACCACGACTCTGTTAAGATGTAATTCAAAAGTAGCATATGATTGACTGATTAGCATGTATACTGTATCTTTCTTTTTCTGATTTAATTAAAAAAATACATTTACACCTCTAGCATCTTTTAATGTTCCACTTCTGAAGCAGGTCGCTCACACTCTATGTCTGAGATGCCTTTATCTTCCGCAGTATAAAATCAGTGCCCTTCCTCCAGCTTGCTTTCTCTCCCAGCTCCTCCCAGATTTCCTTGTCTATGGGCGCACACACACGCATACATACGTGTACGTGCGCATTTGCATATACAAACACACACGGGGAGAAGTACTGTCTTGGGCCAGGCTGCCTAGAGCCAAGCCTGAGACAGGGGCTCTGATGTATGTGATGTGCTGAGGGAGGGCTCCCAGGGGCAAGGGAGGAGAACAGGACCGGGAGGGAGCCAGCAAGGGCTGGGCTCAGCTGCAGCGGAGTCCTATGATCCCAGGGGGCTCTGCAGCCTGAACTCTCCCACACAGTGGGTGCTGCCTGAGGCGAGGAGGCCAGCCTTTGTACCCTTGTGGGTGAGTCGTGGGCCACCCTGGGAGGCGGTGGGAAGGATAAACTGTTCCCAGTGAGCTGAGAAGCTGGGATCCCTTAGCAGCTAGAGGGTGAGTGCGTGAGCAGTGCCCACTACACACACACACACACACACACACACACACACACACACACACACACAGATACACAGATTCAGGTAGGTATTGACGCCACACAGGCACACATTCATACATACACACATAGATGCATACAGGAACAGATAAATCCATGCTCACATTCATATCCACACACATACACGTAGATACGTGGAACTGATACCCATCCACACATACATACTGGCTCATACAAACCCATCGCACGGGGGGGGTCCGTCACACATGGATCAGAAGTAAAATTAAATAGGCTCTCCCAAGTCTGCCCTGTAGATGAATAAAACCATGGCTTTGGCAACAAGGCATTTAGATAATGTGTTTGGGGGGAAAAATTATACATATATATGTATATATATACAGATATATATACAGATACATACATATGTATGTATATATATATATCTTGATAAACCCAGAGAAGGGGGCCCTTTGCTGCTTGTGCCTGCCAGCTCCCAGCTTGGACAGGCTGAGGGTGAGGATTCAAATCAAGGCCAGAGGTCTTTTCCTTGGAGCTGAGTGAGCTTCTTCAGGCCTCCTACCCAAATCTGGAGATTACTCAGGGTCTGTGACTCACCCAGCTGACAATGACTTCAGGCCACTTCATGTCCCAATGCTTAACTTGGCACAAATCAGGAAAAAGCCCTTTGGGGAAGCCCCTGGAGTGGGGAGGGGGGGGTGACTTTCCCTCTGCCATGGCCTTCAGGCCATCAGGGAGCATGCGTTGATTCAAGAAAACCAGGAAACTGGTTATTCTTTAGTCTCCAAACACCAGGGGGGTTGCCTGCTGCGACCTTTGGTGAGCTCCAGGACACACCAATCCATTGAGAAAGACAACAGTATCATTTGCAAGTTTCACCTCGCTGGGTACAGGGGCTTTTTGCCCTGATGAGAAATGCTCCCCCTGAATCACTAACGCACAAGGAGCCCTCCCATCCTCCACCTCCCGAGGAAAAAAAAGTGTGTGTGTGTGTGTGTGTGTGTGTGTGTGTGTGTGTGTGTGTGTGTGTGTGTGTGTTTTAAAGTTCTTTTGCTGAGAATGTCCCTGAAAAGCATGCCAATAGTTTCTGTAACTGGTTTCCCATCCTCCTGGCCAAAAAAAGAGAGCAACCTTTTAATGAAATTGTTTGTTTTTTAAAGGCAAGAAAATTTAAGCCTCAGCAGACTCAAGAAAATGAATTATTTGGGGAACTCTGAATCCAGTTGTAGCCTAAGAAGAAAACTACAACTCTATTTTTTAATTTTGTGTGGGTATTGTCTTATAGGTGTTTTTTTTTTTAATTTTGAGTTGAGACCCTATTCCTGAGCATTTATAATAAATACTAAAGTCCATGCCTCAAGCTGACCTAGAGTGAAAAAGGGCAGAAACTCCCCCAAGTGAGCTCAGGAAAGCTCTTGGGACAGGATTCACAGAGAAACTAAAAGTTCCTCAAAATATGGAACCCTGATATGCCACTCAAATGGCAAAACTGCACATAGCAAAACATTAAAAAACACCCTGAAACTGAAAGAGAATTTACGACCTGGGGGAAAGGGCAAAAGAGACTTTTTAAAATTTGTGTCCTCATGTACGTATTTACTTATTTATTTTTAGGTGCAGAGAGAAGTGTGTCTTCTCCAATGTCAAGAAGAAGTGGCCTTTCCCAAGAATTGAGCTATTGAGCTGAAATGGCCGCCATTGGGAAAACAAAAAGCAAAAAAACTCTGCTTTCCAGTTCCAGCTGACGGTGACTTTTGACTGATACGCATATATGAATTCGTTGAAAAGTGCAGTTGTTCTCAGCAGCCATTAAATCCCTGTGAATTCATTATTTTGGGGAAGGGGACACATGCCCAAAGAAATGCCAAAAAGGGAAGAGAAAGAGAAAGAAAGTGAAGTTCCTGTGTTTTTGGTGTATCCCCTGCTCTTTAAACAAATTATCAGGGATTTACACACACACACACACACACACACACACACACACACACACACACACACACACACACACACTGTAGCTGGATTGTCCTTGTTTGTTTGCAAACAGTCCAGATTTAAATTAGATTCCAAGAGGCTACAATCCGTCTGCTGGCTCTTTCAGGAGTCCCGCGGGGCTGGCTGCCTCTACACACTGGACCTGACAACTGTCATTTCTTACATCAGACAGTCCCGAATTAATCTTCCGCTTTAAAAAATATAATCAGCTAGCCTACCTTCCTTCAAGAGAAGGAAAGTGACTTCAATTATTAGCTCACCCATGTTGCAAACACAGAGAATGCGCTTTGCAGAAACGTAAGATGATAAGGGTTGCTTTTAACCATCCTCCCAAGGTCTCTTTTTAAGCCTTTAAAAAAAAAAAAAAAAGACAGTTCTCACAGTGAGTAGAATTAGGCTCCTCTGCGGTCTAGACCTTGTTCACTCTATCAGTGAAACTAAAGTGGCCCTGACCCACTGGAAAGTACAGGCTCCATTCGGGAGAAAAGAAATTAGTTACTGAGCAGCAAATTCTGTAAATTTGTAATTCAGATCTTTAGCGCGGGCCTGAATGCCGGTGAGGATCCAGCCCTTTGCATAAATTGGTTTTCTGGGAAGCTTAACCCTTTCGCTTCTGTTTCTCTTCCCCAGAAAGCTACTCATTCCAGCCTCTCCATCCCCTGGCCCTTTAATGAGCCACAGCAGCCGCAGCAACCCAAGCAACTTCACAGAAATAAGAGTAATAATAATAATAATAATGCCTTAGGTTATCACACACGTCACAGTTTATAGAATGCTTTTTGAATGCATTATTTAGTTTAAAGCTGTATGCCCCTAACTGAACTTAATTACTTCCTTTGTTACATTTTATTATGAGGGGAGGGGCATGCACCTGTAGGGCTTTTTTTTTTTTCCTCAAAGGATCACTTCTTGACAAAATGGCCCCCAGCTGCCTTTCTGACAAAGATGGCCATTGAAGGAGCTCACTGCTTACGTGATTGACTCTCATGAAGGATGTTTTTGTTTAAATCTGGCCACATGGGGGAGTTCCAGGACCTGGGGTCCTACAATCCCCAGCCAGGCCCTTTTCTCTGATTGTGGAACTGGGAGGTTGGGCTGAAGCAGCTCTTACGAATGTTTGTTGATGAACTTCTAGAAAGTGGTCAAGTTCAATGAAGAGAGCTAGAGCAAGAGGGCAAACTGCTATGCTCCATCGCCCTCATGCTCACAGCAACTCCACAAAGTAGGTACTATTACTAACCCATTGTTCAGGAAGGACACTTAAAGGTTAAGTCACTTGCCTTCTAGTTGACTGTGAAAATATGAGAGGTAAGGCTTCTTCATGGAGCATGATGGACTGGTAAGGATAACTTAAATGCTTTGCAATGGCACCAACTTAAATTTTTGCAATCACATTATCCTTCCATAAGCTTCTCCCACGACTGGGTTGATAGGAATGGAAACACAAACCAACTTTATCTTTTTTTTAGGGAGTTGGGAATCACAGGAGGCATGGACATAGTAGAGACATAATAAATATTGGTGGAATGGATAAATTAACTGATAGAGAAACATTCTATGGCCATGTCCACTAGGAAGTCATTTGCCTCTAGTATGAGTTTATTTTAGCCCAGTGTTTGGTCACTCTCATCAGACATTCCTCCTCCCCAGGTGGCCAGCCCAGCGGGGCCAGCCCCATAGCAATCAACTTCAGATCAATATCAGCACACCTGAAACTAGGTAGAAATGCAAATTCTTGAGCCCCACTCAGGACAAAAATGCTGGGTGTGGGGCCTAGCAATCTGTTTTAGCAAGCCCTCCAAGTGGCTCTGATCCACAAAAAAATTTGAAAGCCACTGATCTAGGTACAGCTACCACTTCAATGAGCATCGAGTGAAAAAGACCAGCCCTGAAGATGCAAAGACAGCAGCTAACATTGGACCTGACTGTATGCCAGGTATTGTGAGTCACATGAATTACCTTGTTTTCTGCCCATTTTATAGATGAGGAATCTAAGGCTCAGAGAGGAAAAGCAACTTTGCCCAAGGTCACACATGGCAGAGCCAAGGTTGAAACTCAGCCTAAGCTCTTCAAGGCATGTTTTCATGTTTGTGGGAGAGACAGGCAGACAAAGAGACAATAATAATATGATGTAAGAGCAGTAAATGCAGGGCGTTGTGGAACTCAGAGGAAGATGCTGCCACAAGACCACAGGGGATGGAAATTGGCTCT